CTCTGTAAAATTTCGTTCAAGAGGAACTGCACAAGAAACAGTGTATGCTGTACTGAGAATTTTTATGCATGGACTCCTATGAACCGTTGATGGGGAAACGAAAAATATTAATTGAACTGGAAATTTCGTTGAAGCGGGGTTCGACTATATTTAAATAACATTGGGAGTACGTACTGATCCCTAACCAACAAAAAAAGGTAAAGTCAATTGTCGCCGTGGGTAACGCGAGTAACCGCCCGATTCAAACGGATCTCCCGAAAGTGGGGCGCTAATCCATCTCAAAACGCACCTGAGTTGCGAGCCGGACCCAATCGCTGCAATTCGTGTTGCAGCACGCCGATTTAGGGAACAACTCTTCTGTAACACCGAAATTGCAGGGAAAGTTGCTGCGTCTGAAGCAGGCCTTAGGTTACACAATTTTGCAACTTAGTGAAGGTTTTTTGAAGCATGATACTTTCTCTGTGATCTGGACAACTGGTGTTCGAGACATGGACGAATCAGTGCTTTGCTGTAGACACTGGGTTCTCACGGAGACAGCTGGATATATTTTCGACTGTTTGTCCCTCAAGGCCTAACCCTATGGACTGTTATTATAAGAGTCTGTCGCACATCAATACCTCCTTGCATTGGAGAACAGCTGATGAGGGAGAGAGTGGTAACTCTCGACCTCAAGCCGAGTCTAGTCGTCTAGGCTCATCTTGGGTTGATGGAAGAAGGCTAATGCAGCCAAAGCCTTGTGCGACCAGGGCTAATGTAGTTTTGGAAATGGCTGTCACATGCCCCCACTTCCACTTTGTGTATCACTGCGCAGCGCCCACACTGAGAAGTCGAGGCGGAACATTTTGTCCACTGCACGTATGAAACGTTACTCGGCGTCCTAATATGGCATACCCTTCATGTATTTAGTGATTTTAGCTTGATGCAGTAAAATGTGAAGACCATAAGGCGGCTTACCTCAACCTTTCCCCACGTCGTACAAGGGCAGCTGCTACTATCGCGCTACCGCTTGTGGGATCTATATTGTTTAGGATTATGCTGGTCATGGAATAGGGAAGATCTTCAACCTTTGGTACCACTTCAAAGCTGCATGAGGTGGCAAGCCTTCAACAGCACTTCAGTCAGTTAGTTGCATTGCTTCTTTTTGATAAAGACTGTTATCTTAAAGGGATGGTGAACCGAAATTTGGATTTCAGAAAAACAATGCAGGAGATGTATTCGGGACGCTACAATCCCTGCAACACTACTCGTAAGGCGATATCTCGAATGGACGGCCGTATTTTGAGAAAAAGAGGACGAGATTGAAGAAGGCCGACGAGGCGCGTGACCGTCAAGATACCTAGTTTCCTCCTCCCTTCGCTTCGCTCCCTCAAGGCGGCGAGGCGGAGAAGACGCGAGGCCGTTCCCTCTCCTTCTCGGAGAAACATGACGTCAACAAACCTGTCAAATGGGCATCCTTTTCTTGAAAAATACGGTCATCCGTTTGAGATATCGCTTTATGAGTGATGTTTTGGTGTTTCTTGCATCCCGTTGCACGCTTTTGCCGCGTGTTTTGTAGAATCCAGATTTTCAATTCAGCATCCCTATAAAGGTCCCTGTTGAGTCTACTGCGCCACTCAGTGATAATTTTTCTTATTCCTAGTACTGCAATAGCCCAGCTCACACGGTGCCGAGATTGGACTAAAGCAGAAAGAAAATTGGCACATAAAGTTTCTGAGGCTCTCACCTGTTATGCAGCTGTGGTTAACTGCAGTATGGGTGCCGATTGACCAGTGTAGTCTTTAACTAGGGTCTGCAACATTTGCCACAAATTGTAGGAAGTCATCCCATGAGCCACAACATGTACCATGGTCAGTTGCACAAGCTAGCAGGCTAGATTAATACTTTCCATTTTTCTGCATGAAAGGGCCTCCAATTTTTTTTTTCTGGCTGTTTTGTGCTATTCGGCTTTCTTGTGGTTTGGGAGACTCAAGAGAACAAAGTCTAAACCACAAAATAATAGTGTATTATATTTTAATTTTACAAGGTGCTGAACACTTTAGATGTTTGGTGATGCTAGACGCGTGTGGCTGATGACGTTATCTTACCCGGCTTCCTGACTAGCCTGAGCCATTAAACGTTTCTCCTGAGCATGAAATGCTAAGTATGAGTGTGTTCACCATCCTAATTTTTTTATAAAAGATGTTTTTATTAAGCTTTAAGAGCTAAAAAGTAAAAGAAATAGTTTGAAAAATGTGGATACGAGAACAGCGCATAGTTGATGTGCCCCCCCCCCCCCCCCCTCTCAGGAGCAGTGCAACAATCCCATCATTGGAGGGTCTCACTATGTCAAGGAGTACTTTCTCTTGCTTGGTTTTGTCATTGTAATTTGCTCATAACCTAATAAAAATTTCAGTAAAAATAAGTTTCTTTGTGTTCCTACATTGTCTGAGGTAAACCTCATTGCAAGTTTCAGAGCAGTAAAAACATCATGGCCCCTCCACGATTTTTTGACATGTCTGAAACTTGCGGTGAGGCTGACCTCAACAATGTAGGAACAGAAAGAAAATATTTTTTCAAAATTTGCATTATTTCGGAAGTTGTAAGCAATTAAAATTTCGAAATCGAGCAAGAAAAAGGACTCCCCGCAGACGTATTGGGGACCCTCAAATGGTGGGACCATGACGCCGCTCCTCGGTCTTGTTCGCGTTTTTACAGTTTCCATACTATTCGTTTAGCTTATCACTTTCAAAGAACAATCATACCTATTTTGCATTCAAAGAGAAACGTTTGATGTATCTGGCCAATCAGGAAGCCAAGTAAGTCATTGTCATCAGCTGCATGTGTTTAGCACCACACAGCGCCACTGTACATCCAAGTGTTCAGCAGCTTGTCAAATCAATATATGATACACTTTTATTTTGTAGTTTAGATTTTGTTCCCTAAGTCTTCTGAACTACTAGGAAGGTGTATAGCACAAATATTGTTGGAGGGGCCCTTTAAGCTAAAATCACTAAATAGATTAAGTGCATGTCATTTTAGGACGCGGAATAGCATTTATACATGTGCAACATACAACACATCCTCTTGACTTCTCAGTGCGGGCACATGGTTTTGGCTGCACTTGTTCGGCCGAGCCTAGACAGCTAGACTTTTCTAGAGGGCAAGAGGACATTGAAATTCCCATCATTCCGGAGTGCTCGCAGGTGGAATCTGCATTTGTTCAAAGGTTTACTCCGCGCATGCTACACAAGGTGAGAGCCAATTTCTGAAACGGTCCATTGAAACAACACAATAGCCGCGTTTACATGAATGCGACTTGGTCGCATCGAATCCAGTTGTCGCATTCATTTCGGTCATGTAAACGGCATAATGCGCAAAGAAAGCACATCGCCTTCAAGTCGCTAGACAGAGGTGGATCGAGATGGCGAGTGCGCATTCATTCAGCCCATGTAAACAGAGGTCGCATCACATTTTCGAACGGGGAGGATCAGGGGAAGGCGCTCGCTGCGGGAGCGAGTGAACAGCTGAGAACATGGCGGCAGCCAACCTTTTCGGCGGCGCGGAGAGTGGTCCCGTAAGGTCACCTGCAATTTTTTCTCGAGAACAAACGCAAGCTTTTATTGCCATCATAAGTGAGCGGAATATAGCGGAGCTGCTCGGTGAGGGCGGCCCCCGTCCAAGCCTTGCGAAGTACGACTTGCGCGTCTGAAATGGTCTCAGCGCAGGCACGAACGACACCGAGGGCTCCAAGCACTGTGGAGCACTGCATAGTAGTGCAGAACGAGCAGCTCCTAGCTCGGTGCCGTTCATGGCTGCGCAGGAGCCTTTCGGACTCGGGGTCTGGTTGGTCCGGTCGCGATCGGCGAGGTCTGGCGCGGCCGAACCAACCAGACCCCGTCTCGTAACTTCTTCCACAGCACCGAAGACAGCGGGCACGATCTTTACGTTCACTCAACGTTCACTGAACTTGCGAAAGGCCTCCACGTGCGATGCACCGGAAAACGTGGTACGGCTGGTGCCGGAACATGGCCTCAGAAATCCCGACGAAGCGCGTCGCGCGCGAGCTTCGGGATCTTGGAGGCCATGGCTGGATCTGCATAACTTCGAGTTTTGACACGGCGTGGCGCCACCTTCGTGTAGGGCTTGGTGCGTATTCATGTAAACGTTGCCGGCGTCGGCTTCGTTCGAAGAACGAGTGGAGTTGATGCACTGAAGTCGCTTTCATGTAAACGAGGCTATAGTCACTTCTTCCACCAACCATTGAGATTGGGACATTATACAGCATCATGTTTAGGCTCCTGTGGCACATTTTGTTACCACTTTTGGATTTTCTTTGATGCATGGGAGGTATCAGACAGTAAACATACCAGTCTGAGATGCCTTCTAGGCACTGTAGTGCTGCCGCCAGTTCTATCAGTGGTACAATGTTGGCACTGTCGAGATTGAGCTCTACATTGGAGACATTGCTATTTTTGTTCTTTTTACTTCTTTGGGCAAAACCCACATACAGCACCATGTAGTTGGTGAGGGCACCATGCAGTTGGCGAGGTGAGGCCAATGTTTTCTGCTGCTGCCATCGTGAAGCAAATGATGGAAGGCTGTTTGTTAGTTCCCGAAGTGAGATCACCGGTTATCCAGAAATTTGACATTTCAGTGAAGTTGCCCTTTAAATGCTATCTTAGTTATATGTGGGCCCTCCTCACCAATTGGCCTGTAGAGGTTCCATTAAAGCGCTCGTCACATTTACGGTGGCTCAGTAATGATAGCTTTGTGGCAGAGGTGTGAAGGAGGTACTCCTGGTGCGTAGCAATCTCCAGTTTGCCTGCAGACGAGTCTACTCGACATATCTTTTTTTTTTTTGGGGGGGGGGGGGGGGGGCGGCGGCATGTCTCGCAACATGACACGTCGTGTTTTGTACCCTGCGGCGCTGCTGAGGAGGGAGTTATGCTGGGTGCTGGAATACGGATTTGTTTCCTCGTGTGGCTTGTGCATTTTGCAGTGGAAGACACTTCAGTGTGACAATGGTAGTCAGCCGTTATATTCAAGCATGCCTGCTGCTGAGCATTTCTGTCAATTGTTCTTTTGTGCCAGAGCTGCCTCGTCTTGTGAGGGCCCTGGAGCAGCCGGTTGTAGCAGCAGCAGCCCCAGTGCACCAGGGAGGCGGCGTAACAGAACTGGTATGTTAGATTTGAATAAGTTTGGATGTCTTATGTTTTTTAAAGGCTTCTGAATAAACGCCTTTTGATAACTCGTGTATTTAAGTGTAACAGAATGTGAATGGGTGCAGCCAGCAAAGGCAGCAGAAGTTGAAAGCTTTGGAATATACTGAGTAAAAATTCTGCAATGACTGGTGTACACCCGTCTTCGATTTGAAGGTGAACGCCAGATTGTCCATCGCTCCACACTATCAGTGCCATGACGTGGTGGCTTGTGCATACATCACATGACTTGCTGAGGTTAAACGCTTCGGTCAAATGCTGTGTTCTCAGTTCAGCTGTTACTCTGTGCAGGATGGGGTAAGAGTCTTTCAGTCGTAATCAGAGGGGGGCTGGGGGGGGGGCACCCTGTGACTCGATAAACTTCCTTCAAATGTGATAGGATTTCTTACGGCTCTTCCAAACTCCAAGCACGTAGCCAGGGCTGTGGCCTGAAGGGTCCGGACCTTTTCTTACCCCTTTTCCCATCTATGGTGTTTTGTCATATGTGACCCCAGCCCCCACCCACAACAAAAAGCTGGCTACGGGCCTGCTCATTCCTGGAAACTTGAAGCGGCATTTGTCTTGAAACGCTCTAAATTCTCCCTTCATCTGAACAAATATTTATTGTTTTTATCACTGAATCGCAGCTCATTTCACATTATTTATTGGTGTTATTAGCAGTCGTTCATGAATGACGAAAGCATATCACAGTCACTGATAAACTATGCTGAGCAGCGTTGGCACTATTTCATGTGCGAGATTCAATGCATTTTCCATCAGTGACATGGGCACTGTGCCCACAAAAAGCGATGCCAAAATCGAAACTCAGTTTCACGCTTTCTGTAGGGGGTGGCAGTAGAGCAGAGAACAGTGTTCAATACAAGCCGTCTCGTCATGACGCTGATAGTACGGAGCGGTAGATGGTCTCGCATTCACTTTCATATCGATGAGTGGTGAACATCTTGGCCATTGATTTTAATGTTTCAATCTCTGAAACAGTATGTTCAGCAGCTGAACACTTCATTCTTGTAATGACCTATTCCTAATCTTCCATGTTCTATTACAGCACTGTTACCATAATAATTTAAGCACAGTTTAATCTTTCTGTGATTTGTGGTGCTAAAAACATGGATAGGATTTCAAGAACAACAATTTTGTTGAGAAATATAAGACAAATAGAAAAAGTACAGATGATTATATGCCTCGTTTTTCTTTATTCCCAGCACAAGTTTGGAGACATACTCGTGCCGCAAGCAAAACTAGAACTTCTACGTGGGAAGCCTGCTTCACTTTACACACAAGAGCTAGCTGTACTGGTTTTTGGTAAGGAGACCCTTGAGGACTGTTGCCTGACGGGATCTACCAGCAAGAGACCCTTGCCGACAGCTGCAGTGAATGACATCGTCGGTCAGTAAAGTTGAGAAACATAGCTTCTAGTATCCAGAGAACATGAGGATATCTGAAGAACTTGTTTGTTCCTAGTGTAACCTGAGTTTTGAAAGTCTGTCTTCATGTGAAAACAATCAATGGAATTGATGTTCATATTACACGGCACAACCTTGTTGATACATTATCGGTTGATATGTACAGTAAAACCTTGTTATAACGAAGTTGAAAGAGCGGCCGTAATTATTTTGTTATAACCATTAGTTTGTTATAGCCAATGTCCATTTCTTCCCGCTATTAGCAAGCAAGGGGGATTACAATTCCTTTGTTATATCCATTAGTTTGTTATATCCCATTTTGTTATAACGGGGTTTTACTGTATTTTTAGCTGTTACATTCACAAATGCCAGTCCTGTTTAGCTCCCATATAGATATGTGTATTAATTTCCCATTTGTTGTGTCTGATTTCCTGGTTGTTACGTTCAAAAGCTACCGACACCGCACTTTTGGGTCGCACGCAGCAGATATCAACATTATGCTGCCAACATACACCTCTTCTAAAGTAGCCAATCAAAAATTGAACCGAAATTCAAATCCATCACTAAGTCTGTTTAGGATTGCTCAACTGTGATATGTGCACTGATGCTCAAAATGGGCGACTGCATGCAGGCAGAATAAAGCAGCTACTAGTGGAATAGAGTGAGGTGGCAACACTAGTACTCACCTTGGGGGAGTGGTGAAAGAAGTGGTTTGGAGTCCGTCAGTGCCAGTGTCGAAAACGACAATGTATACAAAAGAGCAAATTCTACAAAGAACACAGCATGCAGATCAATATTTACATTTATACACAAGAACAAAAAGGGTATTCACTGGACGCCATATTTGAGGTAGCTGCTCACAGCGCATGCCCGGGAAGAGTTTCCCGTCAGCTCTCGCGAAACCACAAGAGAAGAGGGGAAGAAAAAATTCTCTTATCGCCAGGACTCTTCTTTGTAGGTCCCAGGCTTACCCTGAGAACATTCTGGAACAGTGACACAAGGATGTGTAAAATAGAAGTTTCCTTGAAATATATCATCAGAGCCGCTTTAAGAATGTTCTTTCTTTTCAGTTCACGTCATGGGCAAGTTCGAGGGGGAAAACGTCATCACTGTGCGGTCCTTCCTGCGGCGCAAGTGCAATAACGCAGCTTTGCACAAGAGACGAAGCCCTGCGGAGTGAAGCTTTTTTTTTTTTTTCTTATTGAAATGGTAGACTTTTAACGCTACTACTGCTGAAATTGCCAGTTATAGTCAGATACAACTTAAAAAGGGCAGGGCGAGGGAAATGAAGACTGGTGACGAGGAAGCCGATTGAAGGTAAGGAGGGGAGGTTTCCCTTTCCCTTCTTCAGCGTCCAGCCTGTTTCCTCCTTACCAGGCTTCGTTTCCCCCGCCCTGGTCATCAGTTGTATCTGACTATACTGCGAAAATTTGCATTGAACCTTACCAAAACAGGTACAGCTGCAACGGAAAAAGAGTAGCACAAGTGACCGACGACCGGAATGACAAAATCGCGACACGCAGCGCTGATGTTCCTGAGCGTGCCGATACCGAGAGTGACAGTCACGTTCCATGTCTCAACGCGGGGGTGACTGGTAGAAAGCAGCCCATTCTAAAGCCTGCATCTTAACAGCTATCTTATCCCTCAAATTTCTGCCGACCACCCCTGCATTGAAACATGCAACCTGACTGGCACTCTTGCTATCGGTGCGCTCGGGTGCAATAGCACCGTGTGTCGCGATTTTGCCACTCCGGTCGTCGGTCACATGTGCGACTCTTTTTCCGTTGCAGTTGTACATCATGTAACTTCACAAAACCAAACAAAAAAAACAACTGTTCCGCTCGCCACAAAATACTTTTTTTTTTCTGTTGTATGAAGGCGATAGTTCCACAAGTACAAAGTGAGCAAAGCTTTTTATTTCAAGAAACTGTTTTTAGCCAAACGACACTGAAAGGTTTTTACTTAAATTTTCAGTGTCGTTTGGTCTTTTAAAGGACTTTTTATGGAAGAAATGAAAGTACTGGCATTCCAGTTTTTTTTTCTTACCTGTTTTAGGTGGCACAGTTAAGAAGTGCAAAGTAAAGACAATCTTTTTTTTCCTTAACTGTTTTAAGTGGCACAGTTAAGAAGTGCAGAGTAAAGACAAGGTTTTTTTTCCCTTTTACCTTTTGTTTTAGGTGGTGCAGATAAAAAGTGCAGGGTAAAGACAAGCTTTTTTTTGTCCTTTTCTTACCTGTTTTAGGTGGCACAGTTAAGAAGTGCAGAGTAAAGACAAGCTTTTTTTTTCTTAACTGTTTTAAGTGGCACAGTTAAAAAGTGCAGAGTAAAGACGAGCTTTTTTCCCCTTTTCTTACCTGTTGTTTTAGGTGGCGCAGATAAAAAGTGCAGGGTAAAGACAACCTTTTTTTTTTGTTTTTTAACGAAAGACGACTACAAAGTTTTCAGTGTTACACCATGCCACTTCAAATAACAAAAGCTGATGTTGACAGTTTTTCTTTCGGCAGCTTTTTGTTGTGAAATCGCACTGAAGAGTATTTTTTGTATAAAAAAAAATAGAGGCCTTTTCTGTTACTACTGCACAAGCTGGCAGTGAACTTTTTTGTGATCTTTTTTTTCCCAGAAAATGTAGATTTTTAACAGTAGGAGTAACCTGTTTGAGATGTATAAGACACAAGCAAGTGTAAATGTTTTTTAACACTGTATAGATACCCTAGGTTGAAGGCAACCTAAAAGAATGTTTCTATTTATGTATGCAAACTGATTTATCAATAAAGTTTGTCCGTTGTTAAATCTTTGGGTGCATTAATTCATACTTCTCTTCGCTATCATAGTGCAAATGGGCATTATGTTCCACCTTATGTTTCTGACAGTGCACATGGAAATGTACTGGTAAAGAAACTATATTAAATGGAATACTGAAATGTGAGCCTTCTGTAAAACGAATTGCCAGCATTGACATAAACCTCAATTCCCTGTGATGGAGACTAGGTTTGTGTCCACTGCGAGCAATTTCTTTTACATTCTCATTTCAGTCTACCACTTAATATTATTTCTTTGCCTTTACATTAAATTCTCGTTATCGGGTGCTTTAAGTGCCATTTTAGCAGAATAAGCTCACAAGCTTACAGATCACTGGAATTATGCTGGGAGCACACCCAAGGTATGCTAACTTTGTCTAGCAGTATGCGCGGAGTGTCCTGAAAACTACTCCGAAAAAGAGCTGCAAGCATACTAATTGTATGCTTTTATCATCGGCGAGTATACTCGAGATCGGCCAATTTAACACAAAATTATTACAGGGGTAGTATGCATAATAAGTACAGCAGAAGTATACTAGAATTGAGCTACTTTTCGCTAAGGGCGGTAGTGCAAAGATCATGATCAATTAATGTACTGGAGGTGCTAGGAATGCGAGTAGGATCAGTAATGAAGTTGCGTAAGGTGAAAGACTAAAAAGCAGCGTATAGCTATTATGCGCATCACTAGCCAGATCAATTTTAAAGTCCCCAACAACTACAATGCGAGCATTCTGCCCATTAGACAATGCCGTAAGTACTGCCTCGAGTTTTAGAAGAAAAGATTTTACTAACAAGCTTGGAGGTTGATACACTACACCGACTATTACGCCATAATCAAGCTTTATAAAAAGTGCTTCAATGACATCCTCACTAATAGTGGCAGGCGATAAAACCTGGAAAACACTATTTTCTTTTACAAAAAACTCGACGCCTGCACCTCTCGTATGCGCATCACGTGAAACACATGATAGATTGTAGCTATGCATAACAATGGTTTCATAGTTTTTTTATCCAAGTTTCACTTACTCTGATTACATCAAAACCAGGAACATGCTGGGAAACATGCCCAACTAAAGAGTTCAAGTTTTTTCGTAAACCGCGTACATTGCAATGAAAAATCGAAAGCTTATCTTCGTTATGTATCAGTTGTTCAACATGCCGAAAAGTGAAAGACTTGATAAACGTAGTAACTCAAGTTTTTGCGTCAGGTATTTGCGTCAGGTTCAAAACAGTTACACCACCCTGATCAAATCCCCCTCACAAGTGATCTGCGAGACAGGCGAGTTCTCGGTCTTCCGCATAAGGACCTTGCCCTGTGACACCCAAACATATTTCCAATTTTTCTCTCGCTTTGTCTGGCGAGCTTTGTTTAGTAATACATTGTTTTCGACACAAAGATGTTCATTTATATAAGGTGGATTATTAGCCTGAAATCCAAGGTGGGTGGTGTTTAACCTCGTCTTCTTAGCCGTTGATAGCAGCCTGTCACGCACCCCACGAGAGGCGAAGCTTACCACAACATTGGGTTTCTTTCTGTCCCTCAACTGTACCCGATGTAAATCGGTAGAATTTAGTGGTAATGAGCGTAGATGGAGCAGCGGGATATAGCGGCGCTTTGTAGTTTGAGAGCGCTGTACCTCACTGCAACTGCGAGTGACCAGGACATCGTACTTCGTATGCCGATTGTCCAGCTACTCCTTGAATTATTTGCTACGGTTCACACAAAGCACGGATGACCTATTGACTCGCGGCCGTTTGTCGACGCAACACAGTCAAACCCATTTAAATGCAATCGTGCGCATGGACCTTATTTTTTGTCGGCATCGTTTATTACCAATCGCGTTCCGAGCGGCACTATCGCATTGCGAAGAACAATGATCGTTGTGTTTTGCTCTTAGAAACCAAGTGAGACAACACAACGTGACAGGCTTAACGCGGACGCCAACAGCTTTACTAACAGAAGGCGTGACAAAAGTATGGTCCTGCTCACTGGGGCTCGACATGGAACCGGCGGCTTTGGGGTCGTGCAGAGGCGTTCACCGATGTCCTCATTCCCGCATATCTGAGCACAATACCTGAGCACACCACAAGCGCAGAAAAGTCTCGCATGATGAAAGGCTGGCCTTAGAAAAATATTATCCACTTTTTTACAAAATATCTATAGAAAATAGTTTTTAGAAGATATAGATATTCTAAAGATGTCTCTACTTTTCTATTCGCTGTATATAGCTTTTGGCAAGATTTCTTTTTGTAGAATTATAGTGTATGAAGATTGGATAGAAATTGTATAGAAATTGTATAAAGAAAGGTAGATTCTAATAGCGTTTTTATCCCCCTCTTTCTGAAGGCAACTAACTACCAGTAACCAGTTTTTGCGCCAAAAAAAAAAAAAAAGAAATCCTGAAAATTAATTTTAGGTTTGTCACAACACATCAATGGAGACGTGAGGTCGCCACTTGCCGCGTGCACATACCCATATGTCACTAATACACGCGCCTCACTCATAACACCATCTGCAATTATAAAACATTGCAAGAGTTTATAATTATTTGAGAGTCAAAAATAACAGCCAGTGCCATGAGGCTCCAACTGGGTATGATGTTGCTTCTCAGCACTGCGTCTTATTATTCCATTCTGTCTCACCGATGAAACTCCAATAAAAATATGGTGACAGACGTTCTATTGAGACTTGGCGACCAAAATTATATAGCATTTCTATCTGGTGTAGTCTGTGGGTTTCTCTACAGAAGTCCCTCTACTAATAATCGCCGCCCGATCGGTATGCGTTCCGCCCGTCGCCAGGGAGTGACATACAGCAACGAGAAGACAGCGAATGGGTTTACTGTACCTCTCGGTTGCCCGTCGTCGACAGCCGGTAGTCCGGGCCCGCCGACTCTTGTTGTCGCCCGTCGATCAGAGCTCACAGTCGGGGTCCGTGTCCAGGCCTGCGGATCGCCTTTCCCACGCCAGCGCTGCGTAGGCTGGCTGTCCCGGGCTATCAATGCCCGAGTCTCGCTGCGGAATCACCCCGGAATCGTCATAGCCCAGGTCATATGGCCCGGGCTTGCCGTTTCCACCGGTCTTGCTCCAGACCTCGCTGGTGGACCGCTGCAGGGTTCGATGGGCCAGGCCAGGCAGCCCCGGCTCCGTCGTTCTTGTCCAGCTTAGCTCCAGCCTCGCTCAGCACACACTGTCTTGCGCCAGCTCGTGTCTTCTCCGCCGGCCGCCTGTCACGTGCCTTCTGCCTCGTCTTTCACCCCCGGCTCCCACACTCTCCCCCCCTCAAGGCCCGGACTTCGGGGGACTTCATGGGCCTCAGGGAGCCGCTGGGCTTCATGGGCGGCCGCTGTTGCTGTTGCCGGAGTGGCCACGTTGCAGCGTA